TTGGAGACCAGCAGCCCTGACTCCTCCAGGCCCAGGTGGGACTGCAAGGAAAACAACTTGTTTATGTGAGTTGTTCTTAGTGCGCATGTGTGCTGGCACCATGACACTATTGTTACTGTGTTATAAAAACCCCAGCTCTGCTTAACGGGGTTGGGGAGTTCTGCTTATGCTGCTGCTGCTGCTGCTGCTGCTGTCGCTGGTTCTGAGTTCTGCCTCTGTTGCTGCTGCTGAATAAAGTGTGGCTGCATTCATGTCAAAGACTCTGCAAGGCTTTTTTGCTTTTCGGTCCCTCACTGCCGAAACCGTGCTTAGCCGAACCTCTCAGACCCAACACTCGTAGTCACACAGCTACTATGTAAAAAAGCCAGGTTTCAAACCCAGTCAGTCTGGCTGGCAAATCTGCACTCTCCACTCCCTCATTGTGCCGCCTCGGCAGTAATAACAACGTGCCTCTTTCCTGGGGCCTGGTGAGGAAGTCAGTAAGAAGAGGCGTGTAAACACACGGCACCATCAGCCCAGAGAGAGCACTTCCAGAAGACTGAACTGGCCACAACCCTTACCCCCACCCTTATAACCATCGTCTCGGAAAACAAGTGGTAATTTGACACCAAATATGTAGAAAAAAAACCCCATAATATTAAACTTTTAAAAACCAAATAAATTTATGAAAAACTAAAAAGAAACCCTTTGTAGTTCCTCCTAGTAGAGGCAGTGTGCTTCTCTGTCCCTTCAGTTTGGGCTCAGCCATGTGCTTTGCTCTGGCCAATGGGAGGTGAGCAGACATTCAGCAAGCAGAAGCTTGTCATGTGCTTATGCGTGGGGTGTGCCCCTCTGGACTTCTGCCATCACCATGAGAACAGGCCCTGCCTAGCCGGCTACAAGGAGGAAGGGAGACACGTGGAGCAGAGATGGACCCAACCAACCTACAACTGGAGTCAAGCCCATCCCACATCAGCCAATCCCCAGCCAGCCCCAAGGAGCACGAGCAAGCAGCAATGATTGCTGTTTTAAGCCCTGAGCTTTGGGGCAGTTTGCTAAGCAGTAGTGCTGTGAAAATAGCTGATTGATACAAGACTTCATAAATGGTACCTGTTCTTGTTTTCATCATTATTCTCTGTTTAACAACACGCCACCTGGGAGTTTCTAAGAATGCCTGTCTAAATCTGAGCAGAAGCTGGACACCCCCTGGTAGGAAAACCCAGAGTGGATTTAAGCCTTAAATTTGCTTTAATGGCCTATAAGGACTTTCCCCACACTGAGCTGGGGATTCCATGACCTTGGAGTGTATGGGCATGTTCACCTTCTCAGTTCCTTCTCTCACATGTTTCAGGTATGTCACCAAGGCTAGGGGTGTTTGACACCAGTCAACACAAGTCCCCTGTGCTGACTCGGCACAGAGTACGTGCTCAGAAAATGTCTGTCAGGATGAAATTAATCAGACATTGGTTCTACCATCTGAAAGGAACTTTGGTTCCTGTCTCACCGACATCTCAGAAAGCCCTTCATCATGAACTCCACAAAATAACTAGGCCCGATTTATCCTTTTTTTTTTTTTTGCTTAGATGCAACTTTTTCTTTTTTATAGAACACATTTCTAGGTAGGTTTTCTCTATGTACACTAATGGGGGGAAATGTGAATCCAATTAACTTCAAATTTAGCTCATAATGAACTTATCTCATTTTGCTACCAGCTCAGTTCTCATCGTGTGGCAGTAATTAACCACTGGGGGTTGTCACTCCCAGACACATGACATGGAGATCCTCCCAGCCCCTCTCTTCAAACCCTTACAGAATTCATTACCCTGACAGTGTGAAAACCCTTCACTTTGAATACCACAGGGCACCAACCAAACTCCCCCTCTACCTGACTGTGTGTGTGAGCAAGGGAAAGAAGAAAGCCACTAAGAAGCCATGAATTATTGTGAACAAGATGGGAGAATGGGGGCAGGATGCTGGTGGAGGCTGGATGGCCATAGAGGGTCTGCCGGCCTGGACAGCCCTAGGCTGGATGTGCTGCCCAGAGGAAGGCAATCTCCACACACAAGGCCCACGCTAGAAGGGAATATGGCGGAGCTGGTTGGGAGAGGCAAGGTCCTTCACATCTGACGATTGTATCCACTGGGGACTCTTAATGCCCAGGAAGCCTGCAGACCCCAGGAAGGGGCAACAGTAACCTGCTGTGTGACCTCAGGTAAGTTCCACCCCATCTCTGGGCCTTGGTTTTCCCATCTGAACACTCAAGCAGTGAAAACAAGTGGCTTCACAGGGGTTTTTCTGCTCCAACATTCCATAAGTCAGGGACATCACTTGATCCCTGTGTCGATGGAACGGGAAGCTGGTGCTAGCTGCCACAGAGACAGGTACGGCAGTTCCTGCCCACCTTGTCTCAGCACTCCTGCCCACAGCATCAGACTCCCTAGAGCCCCTGGATGAAATCCTAGTGAAAGGAGGGGAAGAATCAGTTTTGTTTTCCTGTTTCCAGGAAAGGAAGTTAGAGAAGGAGATAGGAGCTGTCAGGCTGCACAGTACTGCCACGGTCCTCTCACCAAATGTCCATGTGGGTGACCAGGCCTGAGATGGCAGCCCCTACTCGGCTCATGCTAGTTTACAAGAGAAGCTGGAACTCTGGTTTCATTTCATTGGGGAATCTCTTGTCTCTGAATGTTGACATTAATTCAGTTTTTAAAATACACAGTGAGGGCCAAAGAAAACTTGTCACAAAGCCACGTGTAACTTTCAGACTACCAATTTTCAACCTTTACCTGTCCTCAAAGCCCTCAAGTCCTATCTAAACGACCCCACCTCCAGCTTCACCAGCTGCCAGGCCTTTTAAGGACCTGAGCCCTGCCTGGGTGTCCAGGTAACTGACAAAGAGGTAACCACCCTGCAAGGCGGAACAGGCCAGAGCATGGAGTAAAAGCACTGCAGAAGGTGATTTCTGGGAAACTGGGCCATGAGCACAGCCAGCTCCCTGGGGCTGCCCAAACCTCCTGCCATCTTCCTTGTTTCTGCGGGTGACAGCCCCAGCCTCCCAGCCATAGCATCTTCAAAGACACCCCTCCTCCCTCATGCTCAGTCAGTCCCCAAGCCCCTCTCGACTCTCCATCCGCTCAGTGCCCTCCCTCCATGGTTCTGACCTGCCCAGGCCAGACTATCCTTCCCTTTCCCTTTTTCCGGGTGTCCTCCTCCAAGACCCCCTGCTCCGGCCCGGCCCCACCCTCTGTTCTGGACTGCCTGCTAAGGCTCCTCTCCTAGCACCCCAGTGCCCCGTTACAGAACCCCTCGGCTCACCCTGAAGGACAACCTGGAACCACGTAGGAGCTCAGTGAGGGTTCTGAAGCCAACACTTCTGATCTGTCTCCGTGTGATCATTTAACCAGAGCTTGCAGACGCTTCTACAACATTTTCCCTGAAAACCCTTCCTCAAAGTCACAGAACCATGAGAAACCTTTTTGAGGGTTAAGAAACATTATTTAAACGTTATTTAAAACTTAAAAAAAAATCATAAAGGTAGAAAGCATAGCCTTTCAATGTCATGAGCACTATTTAATAGGCCCACCCAAGGAGCCTACCTGTAAGGGGATACACCTGTGTTTGACAATTCTTTGCTATTCGATTAGCACCCAGACATGGGGAAGTTACATGTTAACATGTAGGCTTCTATCAGGTAGAAAAGATAAACCCCAAAGTTTGGGTTTATTATCCTATAGGATATTAACCAGTTTTGTATCTATTCTAGCAATTTCAACATTTAAAAAATAATTGCCTTTCCCAGTGGACTATATAAACCTCTATTCCTCAAATGGTCTTGAAACCACTTTTACCTTTTTTATAGGTTCCCTCATTAATTTATGAGTTGAATAAAATGTTCACAGGTATTCCTTCTATATTTGTACATGAGTTATGTTCTTAACTTTTAAAAAAATTACACTTTGACACTTATTATAGGAAAAAGTCAACCGTGCCTGAGTGACATGAGCTGAAGATTTTCAACCAACACCAAAGCAGATGATAGTAAACTGCCATCTGAGGCAAGGGGAAGAGGAACAGCCCAATACCCAGGATACGGGGAGGGGACTGATCCTGCGACACGGACCCTGGTGTATGTGTACAAGCAGTCCGCACACCACCAGGCTCCTTCGTTCCAGCTGGCGTTTGAAATGTGTGACAGTTTGAAAAGGGGCTGCTCTGAAGTCTCCCTTTGTTCGGACCTGCCACGGGGAAAGGCTGTGCTGAGCCGGGCACTGCACAGGGGGAGTATTTCACCTAGAGGGGAAAGGCTGGCAGTGATGGAAAAGCCCAACTCGTGCAGACAATGGACGTGCTAATTGCTGATGAGCCACATCCTGTCATTACAGCAGACCTGGATGGCTCCTAATGACAGGTTTATTAGCCATTAGTTTAGGTGGTGTTATTTACTTAGAAATAATAACCCTAAATTTCTTTTCTGAAAATTACCTAATCCCCACTTTTAACTAATGCCGACTGGCTCCTTCTAATTTTCCCCGGCTCAAGAGCTAATCTGGATGTGTAGAGTGGGGACGACAACTCTGACAATTCATTAATCAGGGTACTGTTCACTTCACAGTCTCAACCCGCCCCAATTCTTCATTTGAACTGACCTCGTCTACTTTCCTGGAATCACTGAGAACTTGCAGACTCCAACCCTGTGTTTCAATTTCGAGAGACTGTTTGCATTTCATCTGCCTGGCATTTTACAGCAGACAGTGGGGCTTAGTCAGTATTTCCACGTACATTTATGCCATGTTCTTCCTTGAACTAGCAACAGTTGATCTAACATAATAAGCCTACAAAGGCTGCAGAGAACTCTGCCACACTCCTGGCTCTGGGCCTCCGTGCCAGGACAGGCACTGCTCCAGGGACAGAAGGAAGCCAGTATTTATAGGAGGGGAATACCGAGGGCAACTGTGGGCTAGCTCATCTCTTCATTCATTCACTCATTCATTCACTCATTCATTCATGCATTATCTGATACCTACCAAGTTCTAAGCACCTTCCTGAGTGTTCCAGAGGACCTGGGAGATGATAATAATAATAATGATGAGGAGGAGAAGGAGGAGGATGATAATAATAATAGTAATAATTAATAATAATAATAATAATAATAATGTAATGTTCACAATAGGAACAATTAGCATTTATTCAGCTCTTACCATGTGCCAGGCACCATTCTGTATTTTGTATGTATTATTGCATTTAAGTATCACAGCCACCCTGGGAGATATAAACCTTTATAATCCCCAGATTATAAGATATCCCACAGATAAAATATACAGCTAGAAATAGGTGGAGCTGGATGCAAACTGAGGCTCTCTGATGCCAGAGTCATGCCTTTACCACCTCCTCCCCTAACTATTCTGCTTCAGTAAATGAGTTGCAAAATACAGAATACACCTCCCCTTTGACCAGCAATTCTACTTCTATGACTTTACCTATGGAAATACCCAGAAAACAATACCAAGATTTACACTTCATGGGACAGGAGGAAGGGAGGGTTAGAGGGAGAGAAGGAGGGAGGGAGGGACGGAGAGAGGGAGACAATCCAAATGTCCATCATAATGACTGGGTTAAATAAATTATGGTACTTCCCTATGATGGACTATTACACAGTTTTGAAAAACAGTGAGGTCTATTGAATGTCTGGATTGTGGTAAGAGTTCCAAGATGCATTATTGAGTGGAATGAAACAAAGTGCAGAAGCTTATGTACAATAGGATCCCACTTGTGCTAGTAAAAAGTAGACAAAATCTATATGCTGATAGATGCATATAAATCTTACTGGAAGTATACACAAGATGTTAACTTTGGGGTGAGGAACTATGGACGCAAGGGCTGAGGTTGGGGGAAGATTTATTTTTCATTTTATATTTTTCAGTATGGTTTGAATATTTAACTACATGCATGTATTACTTTTTATTTGAAATTAACTTTTTGATTTAAAATTAACTTTATCTTAAGAACCAGACACTGTCTGTGCCCCAAGGGGCTCACTCAGAGTATTGAAGGGGAGATAATAATGAATCCAAGATACGGAGAAGGCCCAGCTCCTCCCTGCCCCCTGCTCCTACTTCTGCAGCTCTCAGGCCAGAGCTGTCACAGCAGGGACTTCTTGCTTTCAAGGACAACATCATGATGCCGGGAGCACCTTGGCCAAGTCACATATTCACAGTTCATGGTCCCACCAGGCATCCCCCAAGCCAGCATCCAGCCCTGGCACGCGCAGTTAAATAGAGTGATGTCCCGCCAATCCGAAACATGCCATCAAGCCATCTCAGCCCAGACAATCTGGCTGTGAAGAGCCAAAAGGTGGGCACAAAACCTGTCCCTAGAGTCCCTCTGGGCACCAGCTCTGGCAGGCCCAATCCTCATTTGCACACAGTTCCAATGAGCTCAGTGGCTTAGTTTCCCAGCCCCCAGCAGATCGAAAACAGCAAAATAAGAAGGAGGAGGGAGACTTCTAGAGGCAGGCAAACTGATATTAGGAGAAGTGACAGGTGACAGGTGAGCAGCAAGGATGGAGATAGGAAAACAATATAATCAGACATAAGAAATCCAAACCTCAGCAGTTTGGGGCTGCTGAGTGGAAGGGCAAGCTGCCTGCTTACAGACCTCTGTATTGAGTAAGATTCAGTAATGCTAGTTCACAGAGATGAACCTGGGTGCTGTCTTTGGAAGGGAGTGAACTTATGTCAGTCACTCTAGCATAATTATGTGCATCTTTTATGAAGAAACTGGTATGAGAAACCCGTGTTTTGAAAGTTTGCTTGGGGCCTATATAATCATAAGTAGTAGATGGAGAAAACCCCAGTTGTTCATCTCAGTCCAGAGTGGGTTCCTGGAAGGCCCTTGTACGGTGCATTGCCACTGCACAAACCACCAGGAGATAGACTGCTGATGGAGACCCACCACACCTCCACTCCTGAACGCCGTATGCACCCACCAAGCTGGTTAGAGAATATCGAAAATGTCTCTTTGCGCCATGACATTTCAAAATCATGGAGTCGCATGGCTGGATTGAAACATGGAGGTGACCCAACTGAAGGCCGACGGTATTCTCATCAAAGTTGCTAATGCAGAAGAACTTCCCAAACCTGACTGTTGGGAAAGTCCTCCTTCCCAAGAGTTGGAATCTACATAAACTAGATGATGGCTAAATGTAAAATGGAAGAAATAAATGAACACACAGAAAGTATGGAGTTCTTCTGAAGCAAACTTCCAGATGGGGACATTATATCTTTGCAAAAGGGGGCAGTGTGGCAAGGCAGTTAGAGACAAGCACCATGGGCCGGCAGTCTCAATCCAGACCCTTGCTCCACACTTGCTGGCTGTGTGACCTTGAGCGACTTGCTGAGCCTCTCTGTGTCTCAGTTCTTTAATCTATAAATGAAGACAACCCTATCTGCCTCATAGAGTTGTTGCATGGATTAAATTAGCAAATGCATGTAAAGCTCCTAGCACAGGGCTGGGAATGGAGTGGCCACTCCATAATACCACCCGCTGCTATGTGCACCCATAATATCATTGAATATGCATGCATACGATGGATAGTCGATGTAGCTAGCTCCGTTGAGAGATTTCTATTTGCCAGACACTCTTCTATGAGCTTTATGCACATTATCTCACTTAATCATCAAAACAATCCTACAAGGTAGAAATTATTATTATTGTTGTGATGGTGGTGGCGGTGGTGGTAGTGGTTATTGAGAGGCTGAATGAGCCTATAGGTTAAGAGCAAAGGCTCTGGGAGCAGACTGCCTGGATTTAAATCCCAGCTCTGCTGCTTACTATTGTTTTGTAACCTTGGACAAGATTATGCCTCAGTTTCCTCATCTACAAAATGGGGCTAATGATAATACCACCTTCTTAGACTGTTTAAAAGGATTCAAGAGTTAGGACATGTAAAGCACTGAGATGCCTGGCCCATTTGAGTGCTCCCAAATGTTAGCGATGCCATTATTACTTCCAATATACAGAGGAGGCAACTGAGGCTGAGAGAGGTTAAGTAACTTGTCCAAGGTTGCAAAGGTGAAAAATGGAGCGGGGAGATGGGATTAGATACCCAGGATGCCTGTGCTCTTAACCACCAAGTTTCACATATAGGATGGGTTTGAAATGAAGTCACTCATAGTGGGATGGACTGACTGGACCTTTCAAGCTGAAGGGTAAGGTCAGGGCTGGAGGACCGAGCATGAAGGCCCACTGAAGCCCAGCCAGCCCTGGACTGGGGTCAGAAAGCTCTCCACCTCCTTACTATGTCCTTAAGCAGGTCCCCTCCCCTCTCTGAACATTCTCATCTGTGAACCAGAGTCCTAACCCCAGACCACCCACCTAGGGGGGATTAAACAATGCGTGACAAAGGCATATTATCTGGTTCTCTGCCTTATTTCCATGTCTGGCTGGCAGCCCATTTATTTAAGAAATAGTCAATAGGTCAATGCCTGAGCCTCAGCTAGGCTTATGATCTCTAGTAAGGGGACAGAGGCCCGTCACAAATCTGGTGGACCAGTGGCTTGGCTGGTCCACCTCTGCTGCAGAGGGCAATAGGATGGTGGATGTCACAGACAGCCAGGCCTAGAACGGAGAAAGCCTAATCAGATAACCCTCCCACCCCTCTGATCGTTTCCCCAAACCACTCAGTGAGGCCACGATTGGTAACTGCCGAGGGGGCCACAAGAGAGGCAGTCTGGGCAGGTGCACTGTTTGCCAGGGAGAACTAAACCCACCCTGCAGAGGCACCTCCCAGGGTGCACGGCAAATTAACGTGCAGCAGAGAGCATACATTAAATCACACTGCTGGCTGGCACTGCAGCTGCCCAAGCGCCAGCCCATCCCTCCCAGAGAGGCCAAGTTAGCTACTGGGGCTTCTGAGAGGCCCAGCATAGCTCAGGCTCTTGCTTGCAAACCACTGCCAGCTCTGGAATCACCCCTGCCCTGCCTTCCTCATGGGCCAGTGGGAGCCCCACATGGGATCACAGAAGTGAGAGTGCTTCATGCAACCCAGGGTGGGGGCCCTACTGAGCAGGGGGCATCAAGTGCACAAGTTAGTCGGGCCTGGGTTCAATGTGCTGGTTACGCACCATCTCAGTGTCCATAGCTGGGGAAACTGAGGCTCAGAGAGAAGACACGACCTGGTCAAGATCCTACATGTAGCAACTGAGATTCAATTCTGGCAGTCAGACTGCAGGCTTCCTGGGGGAGGAGGCCCTGGAACTGGGCCTCAGTGGGTGGGGTTCCTCCAGGGGGATCAGAAGCAGAGCTTGGGCAGAGTCGAGGCAGGGTGGGCAGTACGAATGGGTTATGTCTCACCAGTGGATGAGCCTGGAGAAGATATGTGCTTGGGCCTGGATCTGAGCTTCCTCGGGTAGGCAGCTGGAGTGTAAGGTGTGAGGACTGGGGTCCCAGAGGTGGAAACTAAGAGCCAGGCTGAGCAAAGGACACACAAGTTCTGTGACTGGCCTTCACAGCGGCTCAAAAATCACTTTGGAATTAGGGACACCAGAGCCTGAAGGACGCTTAAGGTCAACCAGTGCAGGCGGGCTTCAATTGGGTTCCTTTGGGCCTCCTGGTGGACCCTGGGGGCCTTTGGGACTGGCACCCCCAAAACCACTGGTCCTCAACTCTGACTGGTTTACACCAAGGGTTTTCTAGGAAGGTTTTATCTGAACAAAAGTTTTCTTGACAAAAAAAAGTGTTTAAACTTAGCAATTATTGGGAAATCACTAATTGCCCATACTGCTAGTGAGTGAAGAAGCCCCTTCGGGGGCCAGGCCTCACCCAGAGAGCTATGCATAGCCAGGCCTGGGTCCTAGAACCCCCATGGCCCCCAATCCAAGCTTCCTCCCCTTGGTCTCTCGATTCCTTTCCTGCCTCTTCCCTCTGTCTTCACAGAACATTCCTCAAGTTCAAGGAACTGATTCTCAGTTTTTTTTCTTCCAGCAGTCCAGGGCATGAATGTGCTTGAA